GCAGTGCGGGCAGGGCAGGCAGGGCAGTGCGGGCAGGGCAGTGCAGGCAGTGCAGTGCGGGCAGGGCAGTGCAGCTTCCCCTCTTGTGGCCATCCCGAGCCACAGCAGGACAGGCACCGCTCCGTCCCCGGCCTCCCTGCCGTTTCCATCTTCCAAACCAGACTGTGCCTATTTCAGCACTTCCAAAGTGATGTTTTCTATTTAAATCAGCCTTTTCTAAGATTCCCAGAGTCTCTTTCTCTCCGTCTGTCTGTGGATCTTTCTCTTTTCTGAAGAGTCGCGTTTTCTTGCCTGCTTTTCCGGATTTCAAAGCTTTATAAATTGATGTTGATGAGCAAGTTTAGGATCTGGGCTCTCCTGTAACTGATGGGTGCCACAAGAACCTGTTAAGTGGACTTACATTCGATCTGCTCTTTTCTGAAAGTTTCTGTTGTGTTGCCAGACACCACACGCACTGTATTAGTTCAGGGGGCTGAATCTATTTAACAGTTTTCACACTTCAAAAGTCATTACCTGGTCTCTAAAGGTAACTACTTCAGCTGGCACAGAAATGGGCTATTATCTACTATGTGTACGACAGTGAGGGGGTGCTCAGTCCTCTTACTCCTCCAAGTGCAGCAGCCTCTGCCTGTTTCCACCTAGAAGTACAGCCTTACTACATGGCACTCATCTGACCTGTGGTCCGTGCTGATGGCAGTATCTGACTATCAATGATCAAGGCAGCTCAGATGGTTTTAATAAATGAGTCAGTCCCAAACTTAAAAGCTAATCAGCTCCCGCAAAGCGATAATCTCAATTCAAAACTGCAAACTGTACTGATGATGCTGGGAAAGGAGGAATTTTATGCAGTGTGTCACTCATTTGCATGAGCTCATTATTCAGAGACAAGCTGTTAGAAAAACTTGGACAATTTTCACTACAATTTCCCTTTTTTGTGGTTTTTCTTTTCTTTTCTTTTTTTTTTTCCCTTGTACTGCACATAGAATGAAACAAGATTTCTACCAAAAAGTGTAAGACAGATGGGGAATGCCATGTACTTTTGCAAAAAAAGCACTGCATCTTCAAAAATGACCTTGGATTTCTTCCCCTGGAAAGGGAAAACATGCTAAAAAGCAAACAGAGAATGGGCTGATTTTGATCTCTTGAAGAGATACACAGAACAGAATAGTTCTACTCAAGGTTTTAAGAATTATGTATTTTATCACTCTTGGCTGCAGTCAAAAAGTCCTACTAGCAGACTGCGTGGATAATTGGAAAAACAACAAGAAAATATTGCAAAACTCTATTTGAAAAAAAAATACTTGTAATGTTGACTGGCTCTTGTGAATATTTTCCACTTCCAGATTAAGCTTTAAGCATGTTACTAAATACTTTGTGGCACTGGGAATACCATCCAAAAGAAGACAGTTACCAGAAGAAGAGAGCAGGACTGTTAATCTCTTTCAGATATAGCCAACAGCCCCTGGAGCTCTGCCCCGAACTCACTGGTTCTTCTCAGCCATATTGAGCATCATCGCATAGCCCTGCTCTGAACATGCTGATCTCCACATGTGTACTGTGAAGGTATTGCTCTACTCCTGTACTGATTAAACCCTGGGTTATCATAAATTGATAGAGGTCTTCAAGCTCATTCTACTGTCTGTCCATTTTCATGAGATGTGTTCCTCATCATTCAGGACATGCATACCACCATACCTTCTTTTCACCCCAGCCTCAGGAACACCTAGCCCTGCCCCTCTGCTTTTGAACCTCCGGCATATTTTTGCTTTAAATAATCTCATGATCAAAAAGGCAGTTTTAAACTGAATGTTAGTTCACATCAGTGGAAAGAAGTGCACTGAAAAAATGTGTGTGATTGAACGTTCTTTGTTAGCTGTATGGCATTGTAGGGATAAATGAACTAGTGTATGTATTATTCATCAGCTGAAGGATTACACACCATGCAACCATGATGGTTTCTGAAGAGATTCTGGAACCCTGATCAGAGGCACCTCACAACTGACCAGTAAACCTGGTGACTAAAGCTAGCCCATCTGTATCCAGGACACCTACCAAGAGCCGCCTTCTAACTTTACCACCAGTAGGAGCATCTAAGAATTTACCTCTGCTTGCCTTTACCATCCATAGAAGTTGAAGAAATTCTGTCAATTGGGGAACCAAATCCTGGGAAACTTCTTTTCTTCTTGGTCTCGGTCACCTCATTCTCCATAGACACCAGCTCATCAAGAAGGAACAGTTTGGCTGCCAGGTTGGTGGCTGACTTCTCTTCACTGGCACTGGGATGTGCTCCCATGTCCAGAGCAGTAGAAGGTTCCAAAGGCTGTAAAAGAAAGCACAGATGTTTGCTTGCTACTCAAGTTCCAGAAAAACTATTTCAACCAGTGTCACAGCAGTAGTCCTATAAACATATAATCACTAGGATACTGAACATGGGACAATGTTTTAAAACAAAGTTCCTTCTGTGAATTATGGCCATTTTCCACCCACAGGAGTTTGCCATAAAAGGTTCAGGTTTGTTGTTTTTGGGGTTTATTTATAGAATTGAACTCACCTTCATTATTATTGCAAGAATTGTCAAAATTCATTACTTCACAAAGCCTGTTTTTGAGGTCCAGCCCACTATCCCTATCTCAGCAGTGTATCACTTATAGCATGAGCTGAGTAATTGAATACTTTTCAAAAATGCAGTCACCATTATGAGACTCCAATATCCATCCTGATATTTTTCAGGAAACTGATTTTCATTTTTTAAATTAATGCTAATAAAGAGTAATGAAAACTTATATAGCATTTTCCATGCAAAGCTGACAAATTAATGAATTGTTATGCAAAAAATATCCCAAGATAAACTTGCTCAGTACTGACATTCAAAGAATTCATGCAGCAACACTATGTGGGGAGGAGGAAAGGAAAGAACCATATGTCAAATTGACACAGCATTTTGAAATTTAGTTATGACATTAGGCTTAACACCTTTTCAAAACCAAACTCTACTTTGCTAGCCAGAATAGCTGAGAATATTGGGGTCTATAAAGAGAGAAGTGAAATACATGAAAGTGAAATAGTTTCTTTACAAATAACAGAAAAAATATAGGGCAGCAGCTAGTCTACGAAAGCAGGTGTTAAGCTCAAGTCATTCTCTCTTTGGATGAAATGTTTGCCTTCTTGTTCCACTCGATCTTTAAAAATTTCGATAAAAATTTTTAACCAAAACTTGTATTATATGCCCTGAAGCAGGTTTTCCTCTATCTTTAGATGCACAGCACTATCTTTCTCATACATATACAGCAGGTTTAGTACAAATATAAAGGAAGCCATCACATGGATGACGTAATATGCTTGTCCCTACACACCACAGTTGTGGTGGTGACATTTCCCACCACTGATGGGTGGCATAACCAGTGCTGGTGTGTATAAAACTGTGATCTTTATTTAAGGAGGAACACACAACCACAATGATCACACAAATAATGTAGCACTGTTAATACTTTTGTAAAGGATCTCATACTGTTCTCTGACTACTTTTTATGAGCCTGAAGTACACAGAGCAATCCCTTCTGTTCCCTTTCAGGGTTATAGAACTTTCATAGAAGTTTGCAACAAAATTATGTCTTTAAAAAAGACTGAACTCTTCCCTTTAGTTAGTGGGGATAACACTTGAAACTAGAAGGTTAAAAATAGTCTCTGCTCTTGAGTAAATTGTGTGGTCCCACTTACTTTGTCTTAAAAAAGGATATAATAGAATTATAAGAAGAGACAGCTAAAATGATCATCAGAAGTAGACAACAGTTTTCCTATGGAGAACCACTGAATAAAGTACAACTCGCAGATAAGCAGACGTAAGTGTGGGGTACAGCGGAGGGTTTGTAAACTTGTGAACAGCAAAGAGCTGAATAAAGGCTCATAATTTTTTCCTCATGAAAAAGAGCTCCTCAATCCACCCAGTGAAATCACCAGATGGTGGATTTAAAATAAATATAAGGAGCTATGTTTTAAACACAGCACACAGATAAAGAACAATGCATTGCCAAAGGACATCACGGCTACCAAGATTTTGAACTGTTTCAAAAACAAATTCAGGCCCATCAGCAGGTAAAACATGCCCTGATCCAGTGCAAGTCTCTGGATCAGGAAGTCTCTGAAGATGTTCTGTTTATAAGATTTTTTTCACAGAAGTCTATCATTGGTAGAGACAGGATATCAGGTCTCTGGCATCAGAACAACAGCTGCTGCAGCACTGATGTGAGGAGTGGTTCCCCCAAGCCCTATTTTCTATAAGTATCATTTTATATAATCAGGGCATGCTCATTTAAAGACAGAGAGAACGGTAGAAAGATCCATCACTATTCTTTAGTATGCATCTCACTTCTAAGGTGATCTTAAAATCTATATAGAGACCCTACAGCCAAACAGTGCTACTTTGATTAAACTTTTAGATCCTTGGGTTTTTTATGGCATGAAACCGTTACATAAATACCTTTCCTGCAAAACCTGTTTTATGTCAAGATGACATAGAAAAAAGAGAATGCGGTAGAAGTATTTTCAGGTGCAACCCCTGCATATTGTCCTAGATGAAATGTGAGACAATTCTCCCACTTCATCTTCTGCTTTCCCTCACAAGCTTAGGCAAGTTACTTTGCTCCTTCTCTCTCCTGGTCTATTCTGTCTCCTTTAATTTGTAACTTTTGTGCAAGTGGTCTTCTCTCAGTGGTCTCCTTATGGCTTCTGAAAGCTTCAGACTTCTCATATTATTTGTCTTTAAAAAGAATGAAACCTTCCCTTCGGTGCTTTCTCCCACACCACCACCTCCTTCCTCTCTGCAGGAAGTTCTCTATCCAAAGTCATAGCTCAATGTTTTGACATACAGAAAATCCCATGGTGTTTCGGGAGAGGCTGCATGAATCTGGATGAGACTTCATTCTGTCTGTCCTCCCAGAGCCATGCAATTTGCATCACTTTTCACTAGGCTCATCCTTTGCCCTTGCAGAGTCGGTACTGATCCTTTACCTTCCAACACTATTTGGATACTATGGTGTCTTCCACGCTGTGGCCAAGAACAACCTGAGGAAGAGTAAAGTTATGTGACATCCACCAGAAACATCCACCTACCTCCAGAGCTGCCTCCACAAGGAGCACTGAGCTAGAGTGCCACTGCAGTAGGGTAATCACAAGGGCCAAATGCACCACAACAAACTGGAACTGCAGCATCTGCAAAGGAGAACAACCTGTTAATGACTTCACAGCAACTTTCCCAGGGGAACCTTGCTCCAAAGACCTTAAAGAAGTGAAAGCAAAGGCAGATTCTGTTCCCGTGGCTGTTAATATATTTTATCTTACAGAGTCACTGCATAAAACCCAGTGACCAATTAGGGCCAGCTGAATGCCCGTCACCTTTGGGTGCAGAATCCACTCTTTTCTCTTTCCTCCTTTACAGCTCTGCAAATCTTTTAATTCCTTACTGCGCAATGGCCCAACCCTTGAAGTGGCAGCAGTAATGAATGTAAACTTGTGTTAAAAACAGATGAACTAGACAGTCACTTGTAAGCAGGGATACTTTGGCTCATAGCCACCCAGGTTGACCCTGACCTCCTCACATGCTGGGTAGATGCTTAAAGATGTTACGGAAATCACAAACCTGTCCAACCACATTTTGAAAGCAAGGCTGCATTTCACCAGTCCTCAGCACGAGTTAATGGTAGCCACAACTTCCAGGATCTTCTTGGGATCCTAGAATAAAGTTATCCAGCTCCTACACCTGGGAAGAGTTTACATGGGAATACATTGCCCAGACTAGTGGTGTTCTGACCAGGTGCCATGAAACCACAGATCCCTACGGAGCCTTCAAATAATGCAGGGAGACTCAACTTTTGGGAGGTGCAGGATCAAGAAGCTGTTTGCTGCAGGGGTTATCTTTGGCCATGGGTTTAGGCTACACCGTTTAAGCCTTTTTTTGGATCTAGCTCTTAAAACCTGATGTACCTCCAACTCAACCAGGTGGGAATATTTCATCTGATGTTAATAAGAACAAGGCTGGAGCCTCTAATGCCAAAGGTATCTGCTAATTTGCTAATTACTCTGTCTTCAGGTCCTGTCCCAGAGTATAATTCAAATCTGATTCTGCCATTCTTCGCTGACTCTCTGCTTGGCAAAAGCAGAAATAGAAAGGATGTATAAATATATTTCTATGATGTACAATAGTTGTTTCATCCTCTGCGTAGAAAATCTCCCGTTAGATCAGGCAGAAAACACATAGTAAAAAACATTTGGCTTTGTACTTTTTCCCCATGTTGCAAAGGAGAAAAGCCACAACTGCTTGGAGTCCAGTATTAATAAGTAAAGCTATAACATTTGTAGTGTTGTTTCTTGAAACTGTTTCTTGCTTGGCTTTTTAAAATATATGTTACATGTAATTCTATTATTTGGTTACCCCATTCTATTTTTTTTTATATATATGTCAGTGAGGGATCAGGCATGAGGAAGGAAGTTGCTCATTATTCTGTAGGGGTGAAGCAGACTTCGTTCACTGGAATCAAAAGGACAAAGCCAAAGCAGTAAGCCAGGTGGTACCACTGTCTCTCAGTCTGATGGCAACAGCCATTAAAGTCAGACAAGGGGCTGTCTGGGTGTTTTTAAAGCTGTAGCTCTCTACAATGTATATTTTTGTATGTGGGTGTGCATTGAAATTTGAAGTAGTAGTCTCTACCTTCACAGGTAACCACATCCTGATTAATTGGATACAGAGACATAAAAATAAATGGCAAGGTTAAAAACACATGTTTATTATGGTTTAAGGTCTGTGCTGGTATTCATTCAACCCAAAGACCAAAGAGCTAAAAATAGCAACTGGTACACTACTCAAAATAAACATTAAGGCACCTGCAACACAAAAGACATTTGATTAACTGGTCAGAACTCGACGCCAGTGAAATTCAAAGCGGAGGAAATTGCAAGGACTTAAAGCTTGGCTCTAGTTCCCATGGAAATGAGTAGCTAAGAAGTAATGTCACTGGTTCAAAAGGGAGCAAAACTTAAGTCCAGGAAGGTCCTGTTGTGCTCATTTCCATGCAGTGATGGGACCAAGGCGGGAGAAAGAAGCAGGGTCATTCTAGTGGAGCAGTTTAGCTCTAGAAAAGCATTTGCAAAACTAGGGGTGCAGTGAGGAGCATGTCAACATAATTAAAATCACACGGTCTTATAGCAGTCTGCGATTTAGCTTTCCACCTCCAGCCATGTCATAGGATCTCAGTTGTTTAAAACTTTTGTTGCTTTTTCTTCTTGAGCTCATGTGTTGCAATTGGGCAAGCAAGCAGAGCCCTCCTGCCAAAAGGGGCTTTCCCAGCCATGCGCTGGTTATTGCTTCACCCCATCCACACTTCACCTTGACCCACTCCAAGAGAGACCTAAAGTGAGGATTGACAGTATTTGTTACTGATGAAGAATAGGCAAAGCTCTGACAACCACATGGGCCTTTGCAAGACACACCCTTACCACTTTTATTGAATTTCCATCCTTCTTCCGGAAAACTCTTCACCACCAACTTCACAGAGAAAGGTCAAGGGATAGGGGTATAATTCCATGTCTTTAGTATCTCAGGGTCTGGTCTGGCGTTATCCAACATGAAATATGGTTTACCCTTCACTAAATGTAATTGCAAGTCTGAAATTCAGACATATTTATGTGTTTTAGTGATATCTTAGCTTGACATGTGTCAAAACTAAAATTCCTCATAGAATCAGGTATCTTTGTTGCAGGTCCAATTAAAATAAAATTAAAGATAAAGGGAGGAACATTATTCTACCTTATCAAAGCAGGATAAACATTCAAAACTTTTTCCTAGGAATCTGCGCAGAGCCGTTTTCCAAGAAAAGATCACAAGAAAGCAAAATTCTTTACCAAAGAGAAACTGTGAAGTCTCCAACATCAAACCAAAGAACTTAAAAGATGTTTTTCTTTCAAAGAAAAAAAACAAAAACCAAAATGACATCCTGAAGATAAGTGGGCCGAACAAACCCCAGACAGCGTGCAATTCATCACTAAGCTCCAAACCCATTCCTTGTCAAAAATGGTAACAGCTGTCATTGTTCTTACCCATTTGAACTATCATATTTCACATTACTGTGGAGATTACTCCACAAGTATAAATCACAAGAGCTTTATTTTTCTTTCTGGTCTGTTAGCAAGAGAACCGAGGCAAGACATCACGCCTTGCACTGTAATCTTTCACTGAGGCTGCCACTATATATTGATGACTATGCTGTGCTTGTTGCAACACCAACAAGGGACATGTCCAAGCTCACCTGCAAATGAGAACCTTGCTCTTGCAATGAGCATGTTGTGACACAGCCCAGAAGTCCTTGAAGTTTTGTGCTGTATGCTTCCAAGCTGACCTGATGTAGAGCCAAGACGTGACTGTCCCATAGGCACTGGAAAGCTCCTTTAGGACTCCAGTCCTTCTGCTATATGAGCACTGGGATGGCACTGGTGAGCGTCCATCACCTGTCAGCCATGAGGATTCTCTCCTATCCTGCAGATTCCACCCAGCTCGGGAAATCCCAGATGCACCTGCAAGCCAGTTACTGAGGTATTTTGTTGCTGCTCCAGTGTCACAAAATAGAATATTAACTGCTGCTACCTATCTTAATCAAATGTACCATTGAGTCCTAGCATTGGCCTCACTAGCCTTGGGCTTTACACCTGATGGGAATCTATCTTGGCCAAAAAAATGATGATGGATGAGTATCTTACCAAAAGAACAACTTATAAATGTCTTGTGTGAATCTCTGAGAATAAGTCTGCTCCTGCTGAAAAAAATTTGCCTTACAAACAAAAGTTGTAGGATGGATCCTCTGAGCATATTCATCACCACAAAGCCAAAAATATGCCCATAGCAGCAGTCCCAGTGATTTCAAAAACTCCTAAGAGACCATGTATATGTCAAGTGTAATTTTCTAGTCAAGTAAATATCAAAGAGAGAAAAATAAAACCAAATCCCACCCTCAGAAAAAAAAAAAAAAAAAAAAAAAAGCAGCAGAGTCCAAAACCAGGTGAAAGTGGTTCTTTTGTTCTCATCCCACAGATGAGATATAGAGCACTTCCTACATACTGCCTTCTAAAAAGATGAAAGCAAGACATTGAAGCATGGGACTTTGTGGCAAAATGAAATGGAAGCAGTCAGTGTCGGGCATTTTATGTTACTAGAAAGGTGTTTCCTGGAATAAGTGGAGATTTTTTAACAATAACATGTATTTTATCAGATACATGGTATAAAAACCGTCAACTTCTACAATGTAAATCTCCCTCTATTTTCAGTTTCCCGACTATGTAGATAAATAGATGCAGGTAGGTTTCATCTGATGCAACCAGAGAGAACTTAAAATTCATGAACTTATGCAAGAGGCGTATGACTAGTGATTTTGAGATAATGACTAGGTATTTCTGCGTCCCAAATGAAACATTTTGTCAGAGAGTATTTCAAGGCCAAGGATGTTCCACTTTCTGCAAATGAAGTTCTTTAAAGGTTTCTCAAGAAGACGTTTCAGAACAGTTATTGGTGTCCCGGTTTCAGCTAGGATAGTGCTAATTACTTCTTCTTAGTAGTTAGAATAGTGTCGTGTTTTGGATTCAGAATGGGTTTTGGTCTGAGAAGAATGTTGATAATATAAAGTTGTTGCTAAGAAATCAAGGACTTTTCAACTTCTCATGTCCTGCCCATCCACAAGAAGCTGGAAGGGAGCACAGCCAGAGCAACAGACCCAAATTGGCCAGTGGAATATGCCATATCACATACGATGTTATGCTCAGTATATAGATGATGGTTGTCAGGGAAGCTGTATCTCCTGGGACTGTGCTTTTGGGATTCTCTCTTCTCCGGGGTCACTAGCTAGGAATGGGCTGGGTGTTGGTCAGCAGGTGGTGAGCAATTACATCACTCATTTGTATATTCTATTATTATCATCATCATCATTAGAATTATTATTTTAATTTTACTTTATTTCAGTGATTAAATTGGTTTTTATCTTAACCTTTGAGTCTCCTTACCTTTGCCCCTCCAATTCTCACCCTGAGGCAGGGGGAGGGTGAGTTAGTGGCTGTGTGGTGTTTGGCTGCTGGCCAGGTTTAAACCATGACAACTGCTTTTCAACATCTTCATTTCAATAATTACATTCATTAATTATATCACACATGTTATCACATAACAATATGATTTCCAGTGATTGGTCTTGATGTGTTTTCATGTCAGCATGAAAGTAATTTTTGCCTGTATTTTACTAAAGTACCTATTGTAAAAGCTGAATCAACTATTAATAGCTGTGCTTTTAGTAGACACAGATGTGATCAGAGGATGCTCAATTATACAACTGTTCCTACCACCTGTACTCAGATAAAACAGATTCAGCAATAGCTTAGTCCCTGCAGAGCTTGACTAGACTCTGCATGGACCCTGCTCATGGAAGGCACAACGTTTGTGGGAGCAGCACATGAATTGCATGGCTTATATGGCAAAAGGCTGAAAATGTGGTCCTCTAGTTCCCATGTGGAATTTGGAGAGTGTACAAACGAGCACAGCCTTGCTGGGGTACATTTGCTTAACAGACACAAGCAGGATTCAGGAAACAAATAACTGACAAAGGTGAACAAACACTTGTGGAAGACCAGTCAGTCATGGTCCTCATCTCTTCATTTGAATAAAGAGCATGAAACCACATGGCCATGCAGAAGAAATAAGGACACTTTTCCTTAGAATGGGCAGGAAGGAGACAAAGTGTACATTTTGCAAAACCGACTACACTGTGTAATCAAATTTTACCAACAGATTTTAGAAATTAAAACCTGAAAATTCACATCAATACCATAAAAGTAGGAGACCATGAAGCAAGAGATGCAAACAGAAGTGATAAAACCCACCTAGAAGCCTAGGGACTATTAAGTAAGAAGGGTGCAATGAAGTATAAGAAAATACCTCTTAATGGGAAGAACCTATTTGCACCTTTCCTAAGTAAAATAACTGAGCAAGCTGCAGTATTCCCAGAATGCACAATGGAAAATAAAACACTATTAGATTAGTCTGCATTGCCGACAAACTCTTAACTCTACTCTGTTTAGGTATGTATTGACTGACCATGTCAACTTTTCTTAACGTTTCATTTAGCTTTCTTCCTTCATCTTTACCATAACTAAAAACTATTCATTGTTAGAGTGCCATCTTCAGCATTTAAAATAAAAATAAGAAATCCTTCTATCAATAAAATCAAGAAATATATTGTGTTTTTCTATGTTAGAAAAATCATCTCCTTTCCTAAACAGCACTGGAGTGATAAGTGGAAGTTCTTCATACCTGGTATAAAGAGTGTATTAGCAGAATATGTTATCAATATGAAAATATAGACTGTTTAAAGTCTAGTAAAAATATCCTTCAAGATATGCCTTCAAGATAAACTCTTAAGAGACAAGAATGGCATTGGAATTTCTTAACAAGATTCAAACACTGATGCTTATTTACCACATAAACACTTAGATGCCCTGATCAAGGATATTACTTGAAGAATAAAAGTCTCAGTGAAGATGGATTGCAAATGGAAATCAGAGAGTAATCTGCTTCCCTGGGTTGATGAAGAAGGAAAGCTGCAGTCACTTGCAGTCTTTGTCAGGGTCAATCAAGAGAGCTCTTACAACTGTGGTGTGGTTCAAATTTTTTGATTTTCTGTTTAAGAAGCCCAGAGAGGTACAATTGTCTTTCATTCAGAGAGTGAAAAGGAAACCCTAATCTGTTGAAATCAGTGTGGCAGGTATTTATAAATACTGAGGAACACCTGGTCCAGACAGATACATTTTTCAGTTTTCCCATAATTTACACCATGATTTGTTTGGTTTGGTTTTGTTGGGGTTTTTTGCCTGTTATTCCTCATGATATTCTAAGTATTTTATAAGAAAAGTAGTTTGAGCTGCATTTTGAAAATAGGTGAGCAGAGACAGATAAATGTAATAATTTGCCCCAGGCTTCCTGAGTGAATCAGTGGGCAGGGGCACAAAATGTCCAGGGAGCTCCTCAGCTTTCAGGTCTGCACTCCCCACGAGGACCAGGTGAAAAGCCAAGTACGGAAAGCTAAAAGGCACCGTGTGCTTGCACTTTCAAAATTAGTGGATTCTGAACTTTACTGTAGCCTCTGGACATCTCAACTGAAGGTTATTCACATGTATTTACTTGTACAACTCTGGTCTGGGAGGCAAAAAGAAACGGTGAAATAGTTTTGAACTCAGAATGGAAAAATTACAGTGACTATCACTGAATCAGTCTGGCTTTGTGTACAGTGGTACAAAGCTGAAGTAGTCAGATCACTGGATAATGATAATTACTCTGTTAATATAGGAATGTTTTTGCAGGGTTATCCTGTTATTGCAGGAATGTGGCAGAATCTAGATTAACATTTATCTAATATGGGATATAATAAAACCCCTTTGCAGATCCATAAATTAAATGTTTTCCCTAACTCATTTATCTTGTGTTTTACAGTATCTTATATGCAGCAAACTTGTCTACCACATATGGTATTTAGTGATGCAAAGGAACAATTCTGTCATAGCTCTTCAGCTTATTTTATAAAATAATAAGCATTTCACAATAACATACACAGAGGAAAATCCATAACAATATAAACAGGACAGCAGTTTACTGCAAAGCACTGCAAAAGCATGAAAGCAACAAGTCACTGTTGTAAAACGCACTGACACATCTTGTTTGAATATTGGCTGATTAACTGAAGGAAGTAAGTTTCCACTGATTATTATTAGTTCAGTTTTATTACCAAAAATACTAAGTGATAGGCATTTTATTATCTTAGTCCCAAACTGGAAAAAGAAGCTGTGCTTTTCCCATCAGACATGGGCATGTGTATACCTTGTGCCTGCCTGTTAATACAAAAAACTTGAAAAAAATGAAAGGAAGAAAGCAGAGAAAGGAAGAAAGCTTTTGTAAACAGAGCAGAGAACATAAAACATCCCCAACCCATCTGTGCCCTCACTCCTCTTACCTTGCATTGGATACAAGCAATTCCAACCTTAATGGTCCTGCTATGATCTTCCCCCTAACTTATCCCTGATGTTCAGCTTTCTTTCAGAGTTTTTATAGTCTCTGCTGTAGGCTACAAACTCCAATCCCTGCCTTTGCTTTCTCTTACATCATTTCTAAAGATTTTCCACTGATCCTTGCCCTAAACCTTTCTCTGTCCTGCACTCTCACACACATTCTTGCCTCATATTTGTTATATTTATTGCTCTGATCAAGATGATTAGGTTATAATTAAAGGTCTAGAGGTTTTGTTGGGTTTTTTTCTTTTTTTCTTTCAAGATTCAGACAGACATGGGAGTGGAAAGATTTTCAGCAGCATCACCATTCCTCTAACTTCTCGCTTTTGCAAACTGCAGTACAGAAACCTGACATCCTGAATTATTTTTTTTTTTTTTAAACTTTCATTAACTTCAGGAATAAAGTAATT